GATGTCTCCCTCCGCCCCCTTCTCTGTTGTCCATTCCCCTGGGAGGAGACTATACTTAGATTCTTGTAATTGGCTTCCCCCTTCCACCCCACATTCCCTTCACCCTCCAGGCCTCGCCCCTTTCACCTCTGGGTTCTGAAGAAGTCATCTATCCAGGATTCCCTGTGTTTCAAGTTGCTATCTGTACCAATGTACATCCTCTGGCCTAGCCAGATTTGCAAGGCAGAATTGGGATCATGATATTGGGGGGGAGGAAGCATTAAAGAACCCGTGACTTTTACTTTGTGTGGTTTACATCTCAATAAAGTTGATTTGAAGAATGACTTGTGGATAATTAGAGTTTAATATCAATTGCTTAGAGATTTTTAATATGATTTCCTTCCTAGAGGACCAAGTCCAGAGCAGCCTCCTTGATAAATGAAATGAAAATGTCAAAAAAATTGGCAACTATAAGAAAATACTTTGATTTCAAATAATACCAAGCCATATAGCGCAATTGTTACACTGGAAGGACAGGAAAAAAAAGTTAAGAAAGCTGCCCTGAAGAAATACAAACTCATCAAATGGAAGCAAACTCCTAAAATCTTGAGCAGGATACATACGTATCATGCTAATGCATGCTCAAATCATCAAATCATTTAGATTTAAGTACATAATATGCATGTGAAATATAATAAACATAATTCATAACATAGTCCAACAACAAAAAATACTTTTCTTTACTGGAATTAATTGGGATGATGATTCAGAAAACTGCATTGGATAGATAAGGGGGTACCCCCCCAAAATGGAAATTTTTGTTCAAAATGATGTATTTAATTTTTTTTTGTAACAACCCATCTCCTTCAAAGTACTCTTCACTACACTTCATACATTTGTCAAATCTGCGATTCCATTCTTGGAAACAGTTTTCAAACTCATCTCTTTGGATGGCTGACAGCACCTCCCTCGCGGTTTTCTTCACCTCTTGCTTTGGGCTGTTCTTTCAAATCACGGCATGTTTCCATTCCATGCTACTTTTCCTGGTCCGTCAGCACCAGAGGCACACATTTCTCAGAGACCCTTCTCATTCTCAAATCTTCCATTAAAATTCTTTGAACCGATCTCCAAGGTAGTCCAGATATAACTTCCCCATCTCGTCAATGGTCTGTCCTCAGTCCTTGAGCACAAGTGCATGGATTTTGTTGACATTTTCAGCCTTTTAGGAAGTTGACGGATGTCCAGAACGATGTTTGTCATCATCGTTTCACCTTTTTTGAAAGGAGAAAGCCACTCTTACACTTTTTTTCCATAGCGCTGTTCTTATAAGCTGAGTTCAACATCACAACAGTTTCTGCAACATTTTTCCCAACGAGGAAACAAAATTTCACACCCGCATGCTGTTCTCTTAAATCAACCATCAAAACTGAGGTTTGAGCGATGATACTGCTTTAACGAAAAAATTCACTGTGACCAGAGAGAACCTTCCCAAGTGATGCCACTGCGTACATTAACTCTTAGTAGCCTGATGCTCCCCTAGTATGAAAAATGCATGCTATGACAGCTCCGCTCAAGCCAGCGCAATCCCGGTTTTTTTTTTTTTAGTACATCCACAGTATGTCAGCTCTACTTTCTTATAGTGTTCCACTAAAATTTCAGCTATTAAGTTATACTAATTTATTAATTTATGATTCTAGTATTAAATATGAGAATGATTCAGATCCAAAAATTACAAGATAAGAAAAAAATGGTAAGACATATTTGAAAAAGAATTAGAACATAAAGAACTTCTAAGTGAAGCTGTATATGGACCCTGGTGGCTATTTGGTTATGCAGTGAACTGTCACTCATAAGGTCAGAAGTTCAAACCCACCAGATCCACTGAAGCCTTTAAAATATTTAAAGGTATTGAACCCCAAAGAAGCCGTTTTTCTCAATTCCGTAAGGTCACTACAAGTTAGAACAGATTACATGGCAGCAGGTTTTGTTGTTGTTGTGTAGGATGCTATACAATATTTGCAGACACAGCCTGAGAAAAGTGGAAAATAACAAAGAAAATTGAAAAGGAACTTATACTGTAGGCATGAGAGCAATTAAGAGGGTCACAAATATAAGGCTTGAGTTTTATTTATATTTTAACAATTTTTCTTCTTTAAGTGATGCAGTGAGCATTTCAGAACACATTTTAATATTGAGAAGCCAATAGACAATTCATTTTATTTGTTTCAGTTGTGAAGGTGACTCCAAGCTTCTTTATGAGAAAAATTGTGATTTTCCTTTTTAAGAGTTCCTCTGCAAAGATGGAAAAGTTGTGCCATCTTATAATGGGCTGAGACATTTTAATTTGAATAAAGGAGTTTGAAGTCTGAGAGACCCATTTTAAGTTTCAGAACATTTAAAATCTATTTGTTGCATCAAATTCAAGACAATTCTGTCACTATGACTGACAGTGACCCTAAGGGCAGAGTGGAGCTTGTCCTGTGGGTGTTTGAAGCTATAAATCCTGTGGGAGCAGAAAGTCTTTTCCTTGTGAGTCTCACTGTGTAGAGCGGTGTGGGCGGGGTCAGAGGGCTCATGGTTAGCAGTCAAACACAACCCGTTCTGCCACCAGGGCTCCTTCTTTATTGCACAGTCACTCTTGTTTGTGACTCCGTGTGGAGATAACAACTCAGACCTGCTGCTACTCAGTTCCTAGTACAGGTGAAGTGATACTTGGGGAGAATTCCACGATGATGCCTTTGCACTGTTCAAATATATCTTTGGATCAAAGGACACCAGGTGAAGTAGAACATGAACTAAATATTTAGTACAGCACAAACTATTGTTTTAAAAAAACAGTGTGCATATCCTCTATCTCAGGTTAGCTAACATTCCATTAAAAGACCCTGTTTTTTGGGGGGGATAAGTAGATTGAAGAGTGATGTCTAGCATATGTTCTGTTTCTCAAAAATGAGGTCTCACAGGGGAAAACTGGTGCCATTTTTGGAATCAGCAGGTCAAATATACCCACAGACAAATCTAACATCCGAGGCTCCAAATTGTGTGTTGGCCAGTGTAACAGCTAAGAAATTCTCACAATCAAAATGCAATAGTCAACAATCTAAATATACACAATTCCTAAATTGATTTTCAAATATATAACTTCCGTCAATAAGAAGGGTCGATATCATAAAGATCATTGTTTTTTTTAATAAATCTGGAGATTTTACTAAATTTTACTATAAACCGATGTTAACTTTTAGAAGAAAGTTCATAAACGAATTTTAAAAATATATACGGTCCTTCCAGATTCCTTAGCCCTCAAAGCAAAAACAGTGGTCTGAGCGGCTTAAAGAAAAAGGAGGAGAGTGAAACTGAAATGGACCTGGAGTCTGGTGACAAACAAGTTCACTTAAAACAATAACAAGGCACCAAAAAAAGACTACATACTCTCTATATTAAAGGGTTATTTGCACGCCTCAAAATAAAACTACATACTTCTGATAAACAATATGTAATGGACCCAAAGTCAAAGAATAAAGTAAGACAATAATAAACAAAAATTATTAGTGTACAAGTTTGTGGGAAAATATCTAGATTTACTTATATTTACAGAAATTATTATACAGTATACTTGCACTGGATCAATGATTAGAACTGTATTCCTTTATGTCAGAGGCTAGAGAAATCAGAGTAACCACTTTTATGCAATCAATAATTGAAAGTAAAGATATAGTTACAGATGCTGCAGAAAGCCTGAGTTTTTCATATTTTTTAAGAAAAAAATTTGATTGTTATACTATAAAAATCATTTCAGAATGGATTAAATATATAAACAGGAAAGGGGAAAAGTTAAAAAATTTAATTAAGTATGCAAAAATCTTTGTGTCTTTGGTGAACAGCAATATGCCTTAACTAAGACACTTCCAACTCAAACTTAGTGCCATTGAGACAGCTCCGGCATATAAAGGCCCTTCAGCTCCTACTGCCATCGAGTCAATCCTGACTCAGAGTGACACCCCGTGGATTTTTGAGTCTTTCTTCCTCTGAGTGTTGGTGGTTTTGAACTAGCAACCGTGAGGATCACAGCCCAACCACTATACCACCAGGTCTCAATCAAGATCCTACAGGATAGAGTAGAACTGCCCTGTGGGTTTGGGGAGACTCAAACTGTTTATGGGAGCAGAAAGCCTTTACTCTTCTCCCTCAAAGCAGCTGGTGGTTTCAAACTGGGGTCCTATAATTAGCAGCAAAATACATAACACATGACACCACCAGGCTCCCGCTAAATAAGACACAGACTTATTTAAACAGGTTAACATTAAACAGGTTAATTAGCATGACATGGAATAGGATTTAAATAAAGAAAAATGGAAGCTGTAAAAGTCTAACAGTCACGTACTATTACAGAAAAAAATTTAGTATACTCAGTAATTGCAAAAAATACATTAAAACACTTCAAAAGTAAACAAAGGAAACTACTGATGCAGTTCCTAAATTAGATAAAGTAGTTGCCAATAAACATGAGTATTTTATTGACTCAATTAATGATAAGCTACATCCATATTAACACTTTAATACTGTAATATTTTATAACCAATTTGTAAATATTAAAATGTAATATCAATCATTTGCAAAAAGTTAGAGCAGCAAGTAACTGTTTACTGGCACAGCCTCCTCAGTAACTGTTAGGAATAACCACATTTACTGGAACATAACAAATGTCAAAACTCATTCCAAGTCACATATTTTTAAACAATACAGGCATAGCAGAAATATATGTTAATAAATTTGACTATTTTTAAGTTAACTTGAGAGAAATAATTTAGTGATTTCTATGGCAATGTTAAATGTAACTCACTTTCATAAGCACATAAAATACTCAAAATTACTGTATTTTTTCTAAAATCTCTATGTAGACTCATTTAGTGTGCTAAATATCAGCACCCATACACACTTGGATAGAACCCCGAAAAGTGTCCCATGGCAAAAGAATGCATTTTGTCACGTGATGTATGTGCCCGTCTTATCCAATTACAAACCTTCTGGGATCTCACTGAGATGGAGGCATCTTGGAGAGGGGGCCCAGCCTTGCTCTGTACATGCAATGGCAGTTTCTCCACTCTGAAGACCAAAACCAGGATGGCACTGAACAGTTACAGATTCACCCTCTATGTAATACTTTTGTGATGTATTAAAATATCCATTTTCCACTTGATACAAATCACATTTTCCTAAGGATAACAATAGTAATAAATTAAAAACACAAATTTAGTAAACATATTGAATTAAAAATTACCTTTGCAATATTTACATTCCAATGTGTCCTAGTATACAGTGAACAATGCACAGAAGGTAGCGTTGCCATAAGATGTTTATTAATAAAATAAATTCAATGCCACTTTACTTAAGGTTTTATAATCTATGTATGTTCGAATATAGTTCAGAGATATTTTTGCACACTTCCAATCTTTATTTCTATTTTAACTTTTATAAATAGTTAATCAAAAGAGAACAATCTATTTTGGTCGTTTTACCAGACCACTCTTTGGAAATCCCTGTGCATTATTATACACAGCACAAGCATAATCACTTTTGTGATTTCTATGTCCACTTATTGAAAAAGACATACATTTATAATTTTTAAAAGTTTACTTACTGAGGCATGGGACTTCTGGTGTCCAACCTTTGCTTGTGCACTTCATATAATCCCCAGAAGAGTATGAAGGAGTCACAAAACTCATATTACAGTAGTAGAACAAATATTTTCCTATTGTGGCTGGAAAATACGGTCTATACCCAGCCTCATTATATAGAAATCCATGTTTTATTTCTGGAAAATCACAAGACTCCACTTGGAATAAAAAAATACAATAGTGTATAAATATTTTATCTCAGTAAACTATCAAATACAAAATTTTTCATTGATAAAGCACATTCTTTGATTACCATAACCACACCCACTGATTGCATCAGGGATTCCAGAGCAACACAAGTCTTAGGAGTTAGAACATTGAAGTCCTGAGGAAGTCTTTGCTAAAGAGAATGAAATTACATTTTCTGCATCCAAGAAGGCTCTCCAAGAAGAAAACTGCATGGATTCATTTAAAGTGCTCTCCTTGAGTACACATATTCCAACCTGTGTTGATTAAATGATTACCCTTATGCAAATTTTACCACTCATTCCTGGGTCTTAGAGCATTTCTTCCCAACCTACCCTAAATCAGAGCATTGCCTTTCCTTTTCTAATATAGCAGATGGAAGAGAGAGACTTGTTTATTTAATGAGAAAATTTAGGAAAGGGGTATTTCTTGATACTCACATAAGATTATGGGAAATTTTAACTTTTTATTCCTAATTTTAATTCTATAATGGGGTGTTTCCTTAATGTTCTAGAAATTACTTATTTAAAATGAGGCACAAATAATTATATTTCAGTGCATTTTTGTTACTGTTCTAAAGATAATTTAGTAAACTCTACACTACATTTGTTACATGAAATTTAATTCTCCTAATTACAAATAAGGAGATGTAATATTTTCAAAAGCCAAGCAATACTCAGTCTGGATCAACTTCCTCTTTCCTCATTCACTGACCTGATTTCTTTTCCTTCTGCTCAGATAATTTTTGAAAGTGGTTTCTTCACATGTGTTGTGTGATAAAAGTTTCAATATATTCATATCCTGAATGTCTTTTAATCAGAAGTTCTTGAACGACACCTTCTCCAAGTATAAAATTGAGATTTATATTCGATTCGCTTTAGATTAATACATTTTCTACTTTTTTTATAGTTTCCCAGATGCAGATTAAAACGCTCATGTCAGTATTATTTTCAGGAATCTTCTAGTTTTTATTTTCTCTACCACTTTTTAGGGTTGTGTATTTTTCATATTACCCTTTCAATTTTCATCCCGATATGTTAAGGCATATGTCATTGCTGTCTTGGCCATGTTTAAGTCTTTCTAGTTCCAGACACGTCTGGGAAAAAAACCAGTGAAATTGTTGATTAAATTATAGAGCGGAGATGTGATCTCCAGTCGTCAGACCTCAAAACAAGCATGATTGTCTACATCCTTATCTGGATTAATAGGATATGAATGGATAAAACTTCGGACTGCAATTTCTATTCACAGGGTATAAAAAGGATGCATGTTTTGAAATATTACTATTATTTTTTTATTAAATAATTATTTTATTAGGGGCTCATACAACTCATCACAATCTGTATATATGTCATTTGTGTCCAGCACTTTAGTACATAGGTTGACTTCATCATTCTCACAACACCTGCTTTCTACTTGAGCCTTTGGTGTCAGCTCATTTTTCCCCTCCCTCACTGCTCCCCTCTCCTCCCTCCCCCCAAACCCCTGATAATTTATAAATTATTATTATTTTATCATATCTTACCCCATCCCATATCTCCCTCACTCACTTCTCCACTGTCTGTCCTGCAGGGTGGAGGCCATATGCAGAACTTGTCATTTGTTCCCCCTTTCTCCCTCTCTTTCCCTCCACCCTCTCCCCATCGTCACCCTCTCCACAGGTCCTGGAGGGTTCATCTGTCCTGGGTTCACTGTATTTCCAGTTCCTATCTGTGCCAGTGCACATCCTCCAGTCCAGTCAGATATGCAAGGCAGAACTGGGATCATGGTAGTGGGGGGGAGGAAGCATTTAAGAACTAGAGGAAAATTGCACATTTCATCATTGCTACTCTGATTTGCTCCTCTCCTCCACGCAGCCCTTCTGCAAGGGGATGTCCAATTTCCCCTGGATGGGCCCTGGGTCCCCACTCTGCACTCCCCCTCATTCACAATGTTATGATTTTTTTTTTTTTTTTTTTGTCTTTGTTGCCTGATACCTGACCCCTTCGCGGCCTTGTCATCTTATAGGCTGGTGTGCTTCTTCCATGTGGGCTTTGTTGTTTCTCAGTTAGATGGCCCCTTGTTTATTTTCCCCTCTTCCCAAGCTGCAGCTTCAGTGCTGTCCTCTGAAGTGAATTCCCCCTGGGGGAGGGTGGTGCCGTGCACCCAGTTGGTAATGGGGCCAGCCCTTCAGGCCTCTCCATCTGTTCCCTACTTCATGTCAGTGTGTTGCGTTCCTGTCTAGAGCTCCGGGTTGAAGTCGGGTCCCTCTTTCCATGTGGAGACACAATCAACACCCTCCCCCTGTGTGGGTTAGTGCCCTGTTCCCCTGGCTATCCATACCTTTTCCCCTCCTCATTTTAGTGGGGTACCATATGTATCCCATATGTATCCCTGGGTTTAGTCTGAACCCTGCCATATTACCTGGATCTCACTCCAGGGATGTATCTATGCAGCATCTTCTTCCTTATGCCCTTTTTGAAAAAAAATTTTTTTGGTTTTGTTTTGCTTTGCACTTAACCTTAGCGGACTCATGTAGTACTTGTCCTTTTGTGTTTGTCTTACTTCACTTAGCATAATTTCCTCCAATTCTTCCCATGTGGCAATGTGCTTCATGCGTTCATCACTGCTTTTTAGGGATGCGTAATACTCCATTGTATATATGTACCAGAGTGTTTTAATCTATTTGTCTGTTGATGGAAATTTGGGCAGTTTTCAACTCCTTGCAATTGTGAACTGTGCTGCGATGAAAATTGGAGCACAGATGTCTGGCCTTGGTTTGTTTTTTGTCTCTTCTGGGTATATGCCCAATAGGGGGATTGCTGGATCATAGGGTAGCTCAATTTCCAACTGTTTTAGATATCGCCAAATCGATTTGCATAGTGGCTGTACATACCTACAGGTTCACCAGCAGTGGACAAGAGTTCCTATCTTTCCGCATCCCCTCCAACATTTATTACTTTCTGATTTCTTGAATTGGGCTATCTTTGAGGGTGTCAGGTGGTATCTCTTGTTTTAATTAGCATTTCTCTTATGGGTAGAGATCTGGAACATTTTCTCATATATTTGTTTGCCATTTGGATTTCTGCCCTTGAGAACCTCCTTCTCAGGTCCTTTGCCCACTTCCTGAGTGGACAATTGGTTTTTCTCTTGTAGTTTAGCAGTGTATTATAGATTTTAGTAATAAGGCCTTTGTCGGATGTGTCGTTGCCAAAGATGTTTTCCCATTCTGTAGTCTCTCTTATTACTCTCTTGGTGAATTCTTTCGATGTACATAAGTGTTTTATTTTTAGTATGTCCCACTGGTCAATTTGTGCCTCCTCTGTGTTGGTGTCCTTCCCGATTTCCGATAGCCTATGTAATTTCTGTGCCAAGGTTCTCAGGTTTGAATCAATTCCATCATTGATGGCCCTAATAGTTTGGGGGTTAACCTCAAGGTCGAAGTATTGCTATTATTATCACAGGCTTGAGTCCAACATAATTCTCTGTCATTTGGGTCCACTTCAGTCTTCTGCTGTTTTCTTTTTCACAAGGTATTTCCTTGAAGTGAATGCAGTATTTCACTCTTGCTGAGCAACACCACTTATTTATGGTGGCTTGTTCCTTGTTGTGACGTTGGAAGTGATGTCACTGGTATTTAAAGTAACATCAGGGTCCCTCGAGGTGAACAGGTTTTAGCAGAGCTTCCAGACTAAGAACAGCCTGTGAAGAAGGAATAGGCTGTCCACCTCTGAGGAACTCACCCTTGAACACCTTATGAACAGCACACTTTCAAGTATAGTGATGGAAGATGAGCCTCTCATGTCGGAGGTCTTTCAAAATGGCTGAGGAAGAACGCTCAAATGAAGCTGACCGTAACTATTGGTGATTGGAATGCAAAATTCGACAACTAAGAGGAAGGAGCGTTTAGAAATGGGACACGGGAAAATATGGCCTTGAGTGTATCTGTGAGATAGAGTGCATGACAGAGTTTTGAAAAATTTCTTCCTTGCGAATACTTTTATTGAACCACACAATGGGGACTATCCACGTGGTTTTCTCCAGCTGGAGTATGCAGAAATGAAGTTGACTACATCTGTGGCTGAGATAGTGGGAAAGCTCAATGGCAGTGGGGAAAAAAGAAAAGGGTGAGAGCTGACAGGGGACCAGACCATCCGTGTTTCACATGTAACTTCAGGTAGAAGCTAAAAATAATTGAAACAAATCCATGAGAGCAAAAATATTGCATAGAGCATAAGCCACCCAATTTTGGAGAATATTTTCAAGAATAGATTTGACTCATTGAACGTTTATAACAAAAGACCTGATGAGCTGTGGGTGGACATCAAGAGCATAATTCAAGAAGAATGCGATAGGTCATTAAAAAGCAGGAGGTAAAAGATCTAAGTGGATGTCAGAAGAAACTCTGAAACCTGCTCTTTAACATAGAGCAGCAATATAAATGGGAGAAATGAAGTGAAAGAACTTTAAGACCATTTTGAAGGGCAGATATAGAAAACACGTCGAAGTATTATAATGAATTGTGCAGAGACCTAGATTTAGAAAAGGAAAGAATAACACATTCAGTGTATCTTAAACTGAAAGAATTGAAGAACCTATTCAAACCTCAAGTTGCAACACTGAAAGATTCAATGAACAAAATATTGAACGATTCCGAAAGCGTCAACTGAAAGATGGAAGAAGTACCAAAAAGAACTGCTCCACATTCAGCCGTTTCAAGAGGTAGCATATGATCAAGGCCCAATAGGACTGAAGAAAGAAGTTCAAGATACATCAAAGACATCCGTGAGGAACAAGGCTCCAGGAATTGATGGGATACCAATAGAAATGTTTCAGCAAACTGATGAAGCATTGGAAGCACTCATTCACCTATTCCAAGATGTTTGGAAGACATTTCCCTGGTCAACCAAATGTAAATTCCATATTTGTACCCATTCCAAGTGCAAGTTATAGAATAACAATTAATTTCACATGTAAGTAAAATTATGTTGAAGGTCATTCAACACTGCTTGCAGCATTACATTGACAGGGAGCTGCCAGAGGTCAGGCTGGGTTCTTTAGAGGTCATACAACTTGGGATATTATTGCTGAAGTCAAGAAAATCTTGGTTGGCAGAAGAGCATATTAGAATAGTTTACATTTGTGGTTTATTGACTGTGTAAAATCATTAGGTATTGTGAATCATAACCAACCATGGATAGCATTGAGAAAAATGAGAAGTCCAAAAACTTCATTGTCCTCATGCAGAATCTCTTCCAAGAGGCAATTATTCTAATAGAAAGGTGGCAGAGAGGAAACAAGCCAGTCAGGGTACAGTATGGCTCTGATAAAACATATAACTTTTCTCTAGTTCTTTAGTGCTTACCCTGCCCCCACTATCATGCTCCCAATTCCACTTTACAAATCTGGCTAGACCAGAGCATGTACATGGGTACAGATAAGAGCTGGAAACACAGGGAATCCAGGACAGATAAACCCCTCAGGACCAATATTGAGAGTAGCCATAAAAGCAGGGCAAGGGAAAAGTGGGGGGCGGGAGAGCAGGGGACTTGACCACAATGATCTACATATAACCCCCTATCAAGGGAACAGATAACAGAAAAGTGGGTGAAGGGAGACATCGGTTAGTATAAGACATGAAAAACCAATAATAATTTATAAATTATCAAGGGTTCATAAGGGAAGGAAGGTGGAAGAGGGAGAGGAAAAATGAAAAGCTGATACCAAGGGTTCAAGTAGAAAGAAAATGTTTTGAAAATGATGATGGCAATAAATGTGCAAAGGTGCTTAACACAATGGATGGTTTGATGGATTGTGATAAGAGTTGTAGAAGACCGCAATAAAATGATTTTTAAAAAGACTATAGACTAAGGGAATCATGCATGGTTATAATTAGGAAAAGTGTTCATCAAGCCATGGTGCTTCACTATGCTTATGCAAGCTATATTATGAGCAACTAATCTGAAGCGCTGGAGTATATAAAGAAGAGCATGGCGTCAGGATTAAAGTAAGACTTATTAACAACCTTTAACATGCACATGATAACATTTTGCTGAAAGCAAGACAATTTGAAGCACTTAGTAATGAAGATCCAAGACTATATAGCCTTTAGTATGGTTTACCACTCAATATCACAAACATAAAAATCCTCACAATGTACAAAATCATGGTAAAATGTAGAAAAGATTGAAGTTGTCATAGATTTCACTTCACTTGGAGCCGCCATCAACCCTGAAGAAAGTATCAGTCAAGAAGCCAAATGATATGCGGAATGAAACAAATGTAATGCACAGGAACTCATTAAAGTGCTAAATAATGAAGATGTCACACTGAGGACCAAGGCATACCTCATCTAAGACATGGCATTTTCAATAGTTTCAAAAACATGTGACAGTGTGACAATAATTGAGATAGACAAGAGAAGAATCTATGCATTTGAATTATGGTGTTGGAAAGAATAGGGAAATTATCATGGACTTTTGGAAGATTGATAAAATCTGTCTTGCAAGACGTACAGCTGTTATGCACCATAGATGCTAGGACGGTGGAAAGTCACCTTATGTATATTGGATATGCTATCCAGATATACCAGTCCCTAGAAAAGGACATAAGTCTTGGGAAAGAAGAAGATCAGTCAACAGGAGGAAGACTCTGAAGAAGATGATTGACGCCATGGCTTCCATGATGAGTTCAACAGTAGTAATTGTGAGGAAAGCTCACAGGACTGAGTAGGGTTTCATTCTCTGTGACGCAGGGCCCCTTCAATAGCACATGGCGCCGCAGCAATTAGCCTGTGCAAGTGCAATGGATTGCTTACAGCAAAGCCCAGGATCTGATAGCTATCACGGCCTAATTCCATCTTCTGAGATACAATGCAGTGGATAGCAATATTTAAAAATGTGGAGCCTGCCTAATTTAGGTTCTCTCTTATAATCCTTGGCATATTTCTGCCAGTGAATTAATACTGCACTTTACTAAACAGACCCATTTGTAACATAAATGAGTAATGGAGCAGGGCTGAAACAAGGTCCTGCACCCAATTTTCACATAACATTTTTTAAAAACCTAAAATGTGCGCTTATAATAAATTTTTTATGTGATTCACAAGAATTTCCCAAGCTACCTTACTGAAATCAGGTAAAATTAGGCCTCACTTGATCTATAATTTACTGAAATAAATTATAATTATTCTACATTTTCCTTTTACTTCTTATGCATGTAGAAAACTATTTCATAACTTTCATTCTTGGGGGCTTTGCTTTTGATAATTTGGTGATCATGTCTGTCTTAATTGAGTTAATCAGCCTTTTTAACTTTATTTTTCCCCATGGTATAACCAGTGTAATTCTACTACATTTTCAAAATGTACTGGGAGGTAAAGGGGGAAAAAGAACACGCTATTAGAGGAATAAAATCCTTGAAAAATTGCTAAAGGAAACATCCGCAAAGAAAAAATCCTATGTTGAGTATCAATTAACTATTTGAAATGGATTTTTTAAATGGCACAATTTTTCAACACCTCTCTCATCCAGTTGGTGCAAACAAATTTCCTTCACAGTTGACTGTGTACGTGATTCTGTGTCTCATGTCTACATGGCAGAGTGACAGTGTGCCATAAGAGGCATCATGGCTTCCTCTGCTATTTCTCAGGTTCTTGGTACCAGGACAGTAACTGCAATGCACGAAATTTATGGAGCAGCCCAAGAGGCAAGAGACAGATGTTTCTTCTGGAAAACCACGTGAGTGAGGCATCTGGGAAGCAAACCATCCAACCCAGTCAGGCCATTAGATGATTGCAGCCCTGTTCAACATGCTACACAGTTTGCATCAGAAAAACCAGGAAAGCCACCCTCAATTACCTGATACAGGGCAATTTTGAGGTCATAAAAATGAATTGTTTAGAGCCAATACTTTTAAAGAAAATTGTTGTATAGCAATGGATAACTAATAACTTAGGCTTGAGAACAATTAATATAGGAGGAAATATATTCCTGTACACAAATGTGTAGAATGTATGTATATTCCTTTGAAATGTGTGCTTCTTAAATGCTCTTTGGGTTTTAGGAACAAACGTGTTTGTCAAAGGAACATTCGGGCTATAGACAGGGTGGGTTAAGGTTGCCCAATGAAATTCTCATAGGACAGCCTTTGTTGCCCTCAAACTATGAACAGGTGCCTAGCTGCAGTGGAAAAAGCAAATCTTTAGTGCAATCTTCCCGTCACATGTCACACTAGTGCAGTTCTCACTTTTCCCCAAACTTCTCAATAATAAGCTTCCATGATCCTCTTGCGTCTTCAAGAAAATGCAGTAAGGTCACCCTTTGGTAATCTCCCAAAACCATTGCTGTAACCTTTAAAGCTGACTTCTCTGTCTTGAGTGTGGACCCCCACCCCTTTTTAAAGAACCTTCATAAAAATAAGAAAGGAGATTATGAATGGTTTATTTGTATCCAACCACTAATTACAGAGACATGTTTCAACATGTTTTCTTTGGAATAAACCCACAAATGTATGAGCTGGAGCCTTAAAGCCAAACTTTTGTATTTACCCTCATATTATTTCTATGTGATATAGTGTACATAGAAATTATACAACATGAAAGAATTTGACATATGAATCTGTGACACCATCATCATAATGAAGACAATGAAATATGCATTACAAAATTTAAAAGTCCCCTGAACTTTTCCAAGTCAGAATCTAGCTTTTCTTATGCTAGGGTTTCTACTTAATATTTAAAGAACGTATTTAGATACCTCAAGAATCTGAATTCAGCGACTTCACATTGGAACACAGATGATACATAATGCATTACAAAATGTATATTCTTTTTAAAATGTGAGATAATTTTCTTACAAATGTACATTTCATCATGAACTCGCAATATGGAATAGTCCTACCAGTGGATCCATTCAAGTACACATACATGAGAGAAGATATAATGTAAAGCTAAATTTAACATGGAAGCTGAGTATTTTAACTTACCTTGCCCCTCGGCCCAAGACACCCACAGGGTAAGAATGACAGTGATTAGAAACAGCATCTTAGAAGTTCTTAATGATCCATAAATATACATTTTATAGCTGTGCTGCTTTGGGTTTGAAATCAGCCTTATTAGATGTTATCTAGGATGACCCTGAATTAAAGTGGACTACAATTTAGCTAAGCAAATTGAGGTCACTAAGTAAATGTTAATGTTCAATAAGTTTTGAAGATTTCCCAAGTAATTTTTAACTAGACTTTAACAACGATATCTGCAATTGCTCAACTCTCAGGTATGAATCCAGTGTCTATGAGAGCAGGATTGAAATGAATTAGCTCCAAGATCATATAAAATACAAATTTTAGTAAACTATCCCTTGAAAATTGGTCTGTGCCTAAGGCAGTCGAATAATATGTGACTGGCTCTTACAATCCAAGGCTTATTGCTGTAGCTTTCCTCTGTCCTGAATTTCCTTTGACTCACCACCTCACTTAGAAGGTCTCTGAAAACCAACCAGGGTATTTGGACACAAGCTGACCAACCTTTTTTTCATGAGGTTAGGGAAGCAAACTGATTGTTTTTTTAACTTGCAGTTGATCCTGCTTGCTGGTGCCAGGGTTCCAGCACATTCTTAATATTTAAATAATATTTAATTAACATGTCTTGAGGAACCTTTTCGTAAGGAGCAATATATTCTGACACATGCAATGCCTTCCCTTCTATTAAGGAACTATGCTCAATCTTCACTCCCCTTTAACTTGACTGCCCTCTCACTTGATAGGGACAGACCTATCAGGGGCTTCTGCCCTGCCTGCTAAGGCAATGAACAAAAGACCCTCTGGAAAAAGGTATGGACAAAACAATCTGAGAACTGGCTTGGAAAAAACTCCTTAACCTTGAAGGAAGGTCTTGGTGAAGATCCTGATGCAAGATTGTACTCGAAGATCATGCTGAGACATCTTGAGAAAGCCTAATGCAGGACTGTGCTCAGAGACAATCCTGAGACCTTTTGAGACATACTGACCCACAGCAGCAGTGCAGATGAAACTGAAATGATACATGAGACCCAAGGATGGCCTGAGTAATTAATTAGAAAGTTGCTCGACAATCTGCAGAGCGAGAATCCCTCCCATAAAAACTAGCGGTGTTCCTCTAGCCAATGCCACCGCCCACTTCAAGAAGGGGTCCCTTTTCCTCCAGAGGAAGTGCGTCTTATCTGCACTTACAGTGGTTCTTTCTCACCTGATAGAGGTCTCACTTCATTCCTTTTGAAGTGACTCTATTCTGCAATTAAACGTTGCTTCTCTCTTTGCTGCTGTGTGCATGTGTGTAAGCCTAGCTTATCTCTGGACACTCACAAATCACACACGTTTGGAGTTTGCTAGTTCTCCCATGGATGCGAGCCCGGGACCTGAACTTCACATCATTGACTAATTCATTGATTTTATTTTTCCTGTTCAGGAACATATGCAATATTCTATTTCTTACGTTGTTATTGCTACATGTCTTTGGGTTGGGTTCAACTCATAGCAACCCTGTGTACCACAAAATGAATCCCCCTGGTTCTGCACCATTCCCACGGTTGTTATTATGTTTGGCTCCATTGTTGAAGCCGTTGTGTCAGTTCATCTCTTTGGAGGTCTTATGTTTCATCCACCCTCTGCTTCACCAAGTGTGATGTTCTTCTCCCAGGACTGGTTCTTCCCTATGCAAAGGATGTAAGATCAAGTCTCCCATCCACTCTTCAAAGGAGAAATTTGGCTATATGTCTTCCAAGGCAGATTTGCTCATTTTTTTTCCCTCCAGTCCATGGTATATTTAATATTTTTTGCCAAGATAAAAATTCAAGTATGCCCATTCTCTTTGATCTTCCTTATGCATTATCTAATTTTCATATGCATGTGGGTTAAGTCAAAATGCTATAGCTTGGGTCAGTCAAACCATAGTATTGAAAGTGACATCACTGATCTTTACATTTTAAAGAGATTTGAAAAATGCAACACATGGTTTGACTTCTTATCTGCTACTTCCAAGGGAGTTGTATATATAGTTTCATACACATATATTTTGCTATGAATAATTGCTTGCAAATACATATTTAAAATTAAATAAATAATATTATTATAAAGGTGAAGGAAGAAATAAAGTAATAAAAGTCGATTATGTTTAAAAATTATTTATATGACAGCTGCTTTATTGATCTTAGCTACAATAAAATTTAAATATTGAGAAAATTTTAGCATTATGTATAATCTAGACTTACACAATAGTTTATATATGACCTACTTTTCTACTAATAGCACATAGATATTCAATCTTAAATATAAAACTTATCTGCTTGAATTATAAAAGGCAAGCAGAAATAAATCTGTGAATAAATTAAAAACCCTGTAAGATCCATTTTTAAAAATCTTTCTCGCTAAAGGGGCACCTGAGTCCTTCTGGGGGACATGGCCATTAGCATGTAAGCATGATTAAGTAGTCTTTTTTTTTTTTTTTTTGAGGAGGTATGGACTTAGAGTTGCTAATTTGTTTGGAAAAAAGTGTGTGTCAGTTTTGAATAAAATTATAGTACAAAAGGAAATCCCACTAAGGACAATTCTTCCAATCTGTTCTCAACCTCTTCTTATATCATTTTTTGACTACATTGAGGATTGTAAATGTCAGCGATCCAGTACAAAGCAAGTGTGATAGAGTTATAAACATTTAACATGCAATCACTCCAATGTGGAGTGGAAAGAGTTTGTCGTTCAAGGCCAACCAACAAACAAGAAATCTATTGTCCCCAAGACAAATCTGACTCATAACAACCTAACCATATAGGTTTCCAATGCTGTAACACTTTATGGGAACAGGTAGCCTCATCTTTCTCACAGAAAAGTTGGCGGACTTACAGATCAGAGTGCATTTTTCTTGAAACCCAGAGTGAGATATGTCTTAGAATATTATGTCTTAGGAATTAACTCAAAAGGGTACACTTGGAGTAAGATAAGTGCAAAAGAGACCCACCCTAGCAAAAGCTAAAACCAGTATTTTTTAGAGTATTCCCAGAGTCTGTGAAAATTTGTTAGATTTCTTGAACACTGTTGGCACTGACAAAATGATAGATGCGTTGATTAATAAGGTAAAAGAATCCAGCGATATATGACATATGTAAACCACTAGTTTCAATTTTGGAGCAGCACTGGGTTCTGGTGGCAAAAAAGACTACTTAACCTTGGCTTTCTTCTCACAAAAAATAAATCATCTGAAGTTGGTTCATAGTAATAAATGTGATGTTAAAAAAAAAAGCAAAACAACCAATGAGTGGAATATATTCAGTAATGGCTGCAAGGCCAATATTCCTGAAAACACACTCAAAGAATACTGTTATAAAAGTCCATAAGTAGACATAAGTAACAATTAAAACTTTATGTCCATCAAAAGGCATTATAAAAGTAAATTAACCCAACCTGGAGGAGAAAACAATAGGACCAACAATCCTGGTGGGACATGGGAGAGTGGGGATGGGGGAAAGAAAGTGATGTTAACAAACCCAGGGACAAGGGAACAACAAGTTATCCAAAACCTGGTAAGACTTGATCAAGGGCAATGTAACTGAGGGGAATTACTGAAACCCAAATGAA